CTCAAATTGATCATAAGAAAAGTGAATTTCTTTCTCTGTACACAATGTGTGTATATATTTATATATATTTATATACAAACGCACATGCGTGAGCAGCAGCAGCATGTGTGTGTATCTGTGTGTGTGTGTATCTGTGTGTGTGTGTGTATCTGTGTGTGTGTTTGCCACATGTGCTGCTCATTTGCTTTGAAAACTATTAGCTGCCCTTTGCTGCTGCTGCTGCTGCTGCTGCTGTTGCTGCTGCAGCATCCACAACAACATATGGCCTTTTAGACTACTTGCGTCTGGTTTTTAGTTTTTACTTCTTTAGTCTCTGGCTTGAGCTGTCTGTCCGTCTGCTTGTCTGACTGTCTCTCTCTCTCTCTCTCTCGCTCTCTCTGTCACTGTCTACCCCTCTCTCGCTCTTTTGCGCTCTCTTTCTCTCTTTCTCTCTTTCGCTCGCGCGGTTTGAGCATTTAAATAGTTTAATGATCTGTGCTGCAACAGCAACTGTGGCTATGTTTGTTGTGCCACAGCACAAGCAGCAGCACAAGCAGCAGCAGCAGCCGATGTTGCTGCTGTTGTTGCTGTTGCATGCCGATTGATTTCCCCTGTTACCCTTTTTTCGCCCTTTTCGCCAAGCCTTTTCCGTTACCGATTTACTGCCACGGGGGCTCCGAGCAGCTCTGCAGTCATTAGTGTTTCCTGTGTAGGTTTTTCATTTGTCGTTGTCTTCGTCGTCGTCGTTTGCTGTGCGTGTGTGTGTGTATCTGTGTGTGTATCTGTGTGTGTGTGCCCTTAAGGCAAATCCGCACATATTTTTAGCAGGCGTCGCCGCTAAAAATGCATTAAAAACACCATATGAAAATGCATATCTCTCCATCCTACTCTGTCTTTGGAAACATAACAGAATAATTATAATAATATCAAAAAGCGCACGAGCCAATAATCTTTTGCTAGCTATTATTTACATATATATATACATATATATATATAGTATTTTTTTATGTGTATATATAGTCAATGCTGACTGCTTGTCAATTTCCGCAGATCAGCGAATTTTGCTAAAATAAATGAAATGAAATAGCAGAAACACTTAAACGCCTCGAAGCCCACGTGATTCAATTATAATTGTACTTTAGTAGACAGCAGGGGCATTAAGTGAGTGTAATTAAGTAAAGCAGACAATATTGGCAACCAATTAATTATATATATTTATGTTTATTTATCGGGTGTTTCCTTATTATTTGATTGCCTGCAGCCAAAGTGACACATTTTATTTGGCTAAATGACTAATATAAACGCTTCTGAGTAGTTCATAAAATTGCTCATTTAATGTGTTTTTTTTTGTTGCTTTTATTTATGTTAATTGGGTCATGCTGACATTTCTTTAGCGGCAATTAATTCAATGCATAAATGGCAGCGGGACACGCCTTATATGCCACCGCTAGTCTCTCTGCAGCCCACCACCCGCCCAACCTATAGTTGCTCCCACAACATTAATTTGAACTTCAATGTCACCTCCGCCCACAGCTCGGCCCTCAAAATCACCGGCTTATAAGCCAGAACAGCAACCACAACAGCAACAACAACAACAATTCGTTGTTTAAGCACGGAAAAAAAAGAATAGAATAAAACCTGTTTGCATTTGATTCGCTGCGAGTTTATTTTTATATATAAAAACACAGCGCATTGCTGTGTTGCTCTGGTTGTCATTGTTGTTGTTGTTGCAGGTTGCAGTTGCTGTTGTTGTTGTTGTATTTGAATTGCAACATGCAGTGACACTTGTTTCTCTGCCGCCAACAAACAAACAAACCAAGCAGCCAAACAACAAACAAAATACAATGGCGCAAAAAAAAAATAAAATAAATACAACAACCAAAAAAATAAAACCCATCGAAATCGTTGAAACGTTTGAATGAAAGACGACAACGTTGACATCGGCGTCACTAAGACGTTGACGTCGACAGCGACTGCGACAGCGACGCCAACTGCGACATCGACTTGTGACTTGTTCTGTGGCGCCCGCAAAACGTCAAGTTCATTTATTAATGAAAACGTTTCAAATTCAAATGGCAATTTTCGTTGTGTGAACAACAACAAGCAGCAGCAGCAGCAGCAGCAGCAACAACAACAATAACTGTGACAACAATGTTAAAAATAAATGCGCTATGTACTTAAACAAAAAAAAAGGAAAAAGAAAAATTGGCAGCACTTTTTCACCACTTCTTGCCAAGGTCAAAGTTTGCCAGCAAAAAATAAAAATACCAAATCAAAATGAAAACAACAACAGCAACAGCAACAACAGCAGCAGCAGCAACAGCAGCAACAACAGCAGCAACAACAGCAGCAACAGCAGCAGCAACAGCAGCAGCAACAGCAGCAGCAGCAGCAACAACAGCAGCAGCAACAACAGCAGCAACAGCAACAACAGCAGCAGCAACAACAGCAGCAACAACAGCAACTAACAATACTTAATGCTAAACCCAACTAAAAATAAGAAAAATCTTTTTAAATTACGTGTTGCTATTGTTGTTGCAGTTGTTGTGTTTGTTTATTGTTGTTGTTGTTGTGTTTGTTGCGCTGTGCCAATTAATTTAAGAATGAAATCGAAAATCTTCACGTTGCTCGTTTTTTGCTGTTCATTTTATGTTTTTTTTTTGGCATTTTTGTTTTTGAGTTTTCGGCTCAATTTAGTTTTTAGTTTTATTAACTTGATTTCACTAAAATGCCAATTAAAAAACAAAAATGCCCATAAAATATATTTAATTATTTATTGATTTATTTGTTATCTGTCTTGTTCATTTTGGCACATTCCTCATGTTCATAAATTACTAAATAATTTGAACAACACAAATAATTTGATAATCCTCTGACAATAACATAAAATCAAATGTGTATAAGAACAAAAAAAAAAAAAATAGCTACAAGAAATTAAAAAAAAAAAAAAACTACAAGAAATTAAAAAAAAATAAAATAAAGAAATAAAGAAAATCAAAAGAAAAAATCAAATCACGTTTACAGCCAAAGCGATTGGCAAACACACACATCGAGTATTTATTCTGATTCTTTTTCTTTTTCATTTCTTTTTTTTTTTGTTGTTATAGCTTTTCTTATTGGCAATCAGCAGCGATCTGCCACAGCTGCCCCTGCCCCCGAATGCCCCACTTAGAACACCTCTTCATCCTTCTCCTCCTGCTCCTCCTCCTCCTCTTAGCTGGTCCAAAGCCCATTCCTCATCTGTTGGCTGTTTATTTCGATTTTGTTTTTCTCAATTGTGGTCATTCTCGAAAATTGTTTTTGAGTACCGGACATGACGTCAATAAGTGGGCGTTTGTGTTAATTTTTATACCAACACACAAAACACATATACATGTTTTATATATATATATGTGTGTGTGTGTGTGCATATCGCTATATACTTATGTAAAGGTGGATCTATAAAGATCCACTTAGAATATACATTTTGCGAGGCGCTTTTTGTAAGCATTCAAAATACTAATAATAATATTAATTCTTGACGCTTTTTATGACCAAATATATATATAGTATATATATATATGCATATTCTATATATCGAGTCTTTAATAATTTCCTGTATTTTCCTTATTTCTGACTCGTGCCATGGATTTAATAATGTGTAAACATTTTTGCTGAAGCGGTTCAATGGCAAGAGTCAAAGCACAATTAAAGTATTAATAATACAAACAGACATACATACATATAAATACATAAATACATACGTACACATATAGAAAGCAATTAAAGTGGGTAAAGAGATTAATTTTACTTGGATTTTTACGAACTGCGGGAGTGTCTATAAAAAGATAATGGAGGCTAAACAGTTCAAATGGCCTGAGGTGATTATAATACTAAAAAACAAATTTGTACCACAAAAATTCCGAGTTTAGCAAACTGTGAAACTTAGCAGAGATCACAACAAATTTATATATATATATGTACTATATATAAAGTGTGGCAATTACAAAACAACAATAGACTAAACCATTTCTGCAGAATTCACATTAAGCAAGATTCCCTTTAATAACTCAACTCACAATTAGGGAGCCATAATCTTGAAAATATCATGTGTCCAGGCACCGAATTCAAGTGAATTTTTTATGTTTAGTGCCAATTCGAGACATTTGAACCAAAAAAAAAGAATTAATAAAACAAGTATAAAAAATAAACAACTAGAAGGGCACACTTTTCAAGTGCCAGCTGACCACATACCCTGTATTGAATAAAGCAAATAAACCAATAGAAAAAAGTTAAGATGTTGTTAACCTAATTGAGTTATGAATGCTTTCATTAATCAGCTTTATAAACTAAACTATAAACATTCTAACTATGAAAAACTCGTCTGACTTTAGTAGTATACCCCTTGCAAAGCCACTTAACTGTAGGGTAAAAAAAAGCTTTGCATTTATGTTTACACAAAAGTCACGCCAAGATTTTGACCTTTTTCTTGGGCGTTGAGCTGACCAAAGCTTTGTTGTTGTTGTTGTTGCTGCTGTTGTTCTTAGCTGCTTTTAATAGCACAGCAAGAAATTAATTACAAACAATGAAATATACTCGGCACATGAAGAAAAACTTTTATATTTAAACTATATAAGCACAGTAATAATAATAACAACAGCAACAAAAAAACAGCGAATCGTGCCATGTTGCAGGGGGCCTTCATTTGTGCCCCTGCCACTGCCCCTGCCCCATGCTTAGAATCTACTAATATGTATGAAATGAACGTGCCATTTGGAGGCAGTTGCACATAAATACAGTCAAACTTCAATAACGTTGCAGTTGCGCAACACAATTTTCCAACTAATTTAATGCATATCTTTATATATTTTATGCCATTGTTTTGTTTGTTGTGCATATCATTAGAAAATACATAAAATAACAATTAAGGTACAGTAAAGCCTTGTGTTCTGTTATTACAAAGCTTGACTGTACGACTGTACTTGAATCGAATTTTTGTTTATTTAATTTGGTATTTTGGTTTGTTTTGTTTCTTTTTGCAGAAAGCAATCGCCGTGCTGTGTGGCTGAGGCAAGAGAAAAAAAACGGCAATCGAGAGAACGTGGCTAGGATGAAGGCAAATCGAGCCGATTTCGGGCACAGCAATTACCGAGGGCCATATTAAGGGGGTACAGCCCGTAATCGAGGCTGAAGACCTTTTGGAGTGTGCAGTGGCAAGGACTGGTGCTTTTGGGCATTGGTTGCAACACTACATGGATCGCAGAAATGGCGGCGATCCCTTGGCGCCACCCCGGCCCCCAAAGCTACTACCGCGCGTGCATCGACCAAGGGCGCCGGAGCCAACAGCGTTAAGTGGCAGCATCAATAGCAACAGCAACAGCAACAGCAACAGTACCAGCAGCAACAATAGCAGCAACAATAGCAACAACAACAGCAATCAGCAACTTTCGAGTATTACAACAACAGCAGCAGCAGCAGCAGCAGCAACAACAACCACAAACAACAACACAATATCGATAATACCAACAACGGCCGATTTCGACGACTATCAGATCCATCATCTGACATTTCTGCCCCAGCGTCCGAGCAGCTTGAGTCGCAACAGCAGCAACGCATCCTCATCGACGGCAACGGCGAACAGCAGCAGCGCTGGTTCCACATCCAGTTTCACTCGTCGCCGTCCGCCCCCGCCGCTGCTAACAATCAACAGCAGCAGCAGCAGCAGCAGCAACAACAGCAGCAACAGCAACAACATCAGCAGCAACAACAACAACAACTTCCTTAGTCATTTCCAAAGCGCTGAGCCGGCCGCGTCACTGTTGTCAACGTCACTGGGTCAGCCGCCCGCCTCCCCTGTCACGCTGGCGCAACCGCGACCCGAATCGGAGAGGCTCACCAATGAGTATGTGGACACGCCGTTGCAGCATGCGACACGGTCGCAACATCCCGCCGGCCAGCAGGACAATGGCCAGACGACGACGCATCATTTGCTGTTGCTGCCGCAGCGACACCAACAACAGCAGCAGCAGCAGCAACACCAGCAACATCATCATCATCATCAAACAGCAACAACACCTCATCATCGACTGGCAACGTCGACGGCGACGCCGACGTCAGCAACGTCAGCAACGGGCATCGATGGCACCGATGGCTTATTACATTCGCATTTGCAGCACAGCACAACAACTCCCGCGCAACACCAACACCAACATCAACACCAACACCAACAACTACAACCGCATCAGTTAAATGGTCAAACCAAAGCACCCGCCTCAAAGTTTGCGCCGCCGGCGCCACCTCGTCTTGGCCTGGGATTTGCGGCAGCAGCGGCCAGTGGACAGCCGCAGCTGACGCAGCCCATCACCAAGCAGCCATCCTCGGGCAAGGAGCACATGCACGCACTGGAGGAGCTGTTGCAACAGCAGCAGCAACAGCTGCAGCCGCATCAACATCAACAGTCAGCAGCTGGTCAACTGGGCGCCTCGATTGTCATCGGCGGTGATCCGTCGCTGCTCAATCCGATTGTCTGTCCCCGTTGCGGTCTGTGCCGCTGCGAGCAGTGCCAGAGTCCGCGACCGCTGCCCCAGACATGGGTATGCAACAAGACGTGTTTGTGCAGCGCCGAGTCTATCATTGATTATGCGTCGTGTTTGTGCTGTGCCAAGGCCCTGTTCTATCACTGCGCCCGGGACAATGATATGGACTGTGATGATGGCAATGGCACACCCTGTGTCGATAATCCCTGTTCCTGTGGCCCCTACAAGCGCACCCAGCGCTGGGGCTGGCTGGGCGCCCTGTCCATTGTGCTGCCCTGCTTGTGGTGCTATTGGCCCATGCGCGGTTGCATCAAACTCTGCGAGAAGTGCTATGCCAGGTTTGCGGGACGCGGCTGTCGCTGCCAGGGCAACATCTCCGCCATGGGCAATGGCAGCGGCAACAGCGGCAGTGCTGGCGGCGGTGGCATCAACTCCACCAGCAGCATGATGCCGATTGTGCCACTGGGTGGCATCAGCCCGGTGAATGGCAATCAAAATGTTGGCATTCCGGTTAGTGGCAAGAGTTTCGAGCATGGTTGCAGTGCGGCCAGCCGGATATTGCGCAAGGGCGATCTGACGCCGGAGAAGCGACTGCTCGACTCCAGTCCGGACTACTAAGAACAAAAAACAAAAAGAAAAACAACAAATGAAAAAGAAGAAAATGGGAAGTGGAAAAGCGTCGCACGCGTTTTGTGCGCGTTTTTTGCCGCGCGTAAAAAACGATACGCACAAAATAAGAGTCGCTTGGTAGGTGGCAAAATTTATATATATATATATATACGCCTATATATACAAATATTAAATGTATGACTTAAAGATATATGCCTATATATATATATTTACAACAAATATTGAGAATGTATGATTTAAAGCTATACACACAAAAAAAAGTTTAATGTATGATTTAAAGCAAAACAAAAAAAAAAAAGGGAAAAAGAAAAACAAGAAAAGAAAAAATAAATAACCAAAGACTGCAAACAGATAATTATTAATTATTAGAAATGTTATTTAAAAAATAATGTTCGCTTAATTTAAACAAAATACTAAACAAACAAAAACAAAAAAAAACACAAAAAAAAACTGAACACTAAAATCGAGCGACAGCAAAACGCATTAAAAAAAAAAGGAGTATGTTTTTCAAAACGATTATTTTTTTACATTTTGCATTATTTTTATATTTGGAAGAATTTTGGAGAATGTTTTTTTTTTTTTATTATGGTTTTGTAGAAATTTGAATTCAATGTCAAAGTCAGCTTCTCTCAATGCAAATACATACATAAATAATTCCAATGATATTTCGACAAAAACACCAATAAAATACAATTTGTAAAGTAAACCGTAAATTTTTTCTTAAACTTAGCACTAATGTGAATTAAAACCTAACGAGAACTTTTAGAAAAATATTTGTGTCCGAAAACTAATGAAAACTTATACAAAATATATATATACATATATATATATGTACACGAGACACCAAAATCTAGGCAACATTTTTAAGATACCAACCAGTCCATTTTTGATGTTGTAGACAAACAAAACAAACAAACTACATATAAAAATTATGCACATTATATTCGATATATGAATTAGTAGACAAAAAACAAATATAAAAAAAAAGAAAAGAAAAAACACAGTACGAATTTAATGGCTAATATTATGTTTGAAAAACACCATTTTGATATACTATTAGTCCAGCTAAAGATCAGTCTAAATGTGCTTATGCATCATATATATATATATATATATATGTATATGTATATATGTATGTGTATGTGTGTGCGTGTATGTAGGAATGTCTGTGTGTACATATAGTAAATCTAAAGTCAGTTGGCCATAAACAGTTTACTTTACTACAGGAAAATAAACGAAAACTGATAACATACTTTTATAATACATACTAAACAAAACAACAACAAAAACACAAAAACAAAAGAACGAGATAGGAAAATTGTTTCTTATTAATGTATTTTATATGAAAATTGTTAGTTTTCTTTTTTGTAAACAATAAATATCTTCTACATATACGCATAGATCAAGATACGTGAAAACCAAGCAGCAAATTACTATAAACAAATACAAATGCAAGAAAATTCCAAATAACAAAAAAAAAAAAGAACTAATAATAATAAAAAAAAAGAAAAACAAAACAAACAAAAAAACACAAAGCCAAACAAATTCTTAAGAGTAAAAAAATAACTATATGCAGCAAAATACTACAAACAATTTTCTATATGCAAAACCGATTAGTAAACGCGACAAACAACAAGAAATTTATACGAAAATAATGTTGAAACTAAAACAAATAACAAAAACAAGAAAACAAGAAAAAAAACAAAAAACAAAACACATTTTACCATACGTTATAAATGTATATGTAATATATAAGCTAATAGCTTAGTAATACAGAAACACACAAAACAAACATATACTATGCTTAAATCCTAACTATTAAACAACAAATGAGAAAAACAAAACAAAACATACAAAAAACAAACTAAAACAAAAACTCCCTAATAATAGTAAGAAAATACAAAAAAAAACAAAACAAATACAAAAAAATTGAAGAGAAGATGATGAAGATGAAGTTGAAGAATAAGAAGCAGAAGCAGATGTAGAAGGAGAAGGAGAAGAAAAATTATTAAGTAAACGATTAATATTTAAGGCACTATACATACATACAATCTATACATAATGAATATTTATTTTATTTGTACATTTTACTATAATTAAATAAACTGAGTAGTCGATGATGATGATGAAGTTGGGTACGATAATGTTGATGATGATGATAATGATGATGATGATGATGATGTGGAGACCCGAGCAGAAGAACTTTATGTAATGTTTTTAGAATGTATGTTCCGTTAAAAACTACAAAATAAAAAAAATCATATAATACTAAATATTAACAGTACTTGTTGTTATTTCTTAGCATATATATATGTATATATATATATGTATGTATATGCCACGTTGAAATGAACGATGACGTGGACGACGATGCAGCAGCCGTCGCCTAAGTCGCCGCCGTTGTCTGTCTCTGCCTCTGACTGCTCTCTCTCGCTCTCTCTCTCTCTCGCTCTCTCTCGCTCTGTGTGTGCTGCTGTGCCAAATGGCTATGGCAAAATAAAACTAAAGCAGCTGTTTCCGGTATTTGATTGATAGTGAACTGGCAGTTTGTTTATCTCGCGCACACGGACCGAGAGACCGGAGACCCGCCTGCTGCTGCTGCTGTTGCTGCTTCTGCTCCAGCCCCAGTCACAGCCATGGCCCCCAACCCTCACTCGCTCGCTCGCTTGCTCTCTCTCTTTCTCTATCTGTCTCTCTCTCTTTCTCTCTCTAGCTTATGCTGCACGCATCCAGTGCGGCTGCCGCTGCTGCTGATGTTGTTGCTGCATTTCGCGTATGCTATTTGGGGCCGTGCTGCTCGTCGGCGCACTTATTTTTAAATTACTGAAAATGTTGCAAGCACACAAACATAAACACACACACACATGCACACGCATTCAATTTAAATTTAACTGCAAAATATTTCACTCACACTGGAAGGGAGGCAGCATACAACAACAACAATCACAACAACAGCAGCAGTAACATTTTCTACAGTTGCGCTTTGGCCTCTCTATTCTACTCTCCCTCTCTCTCTCTCTCTCTCAAGCGCTCTCTCTAACCCACTGGAAACAGCTGTTCGTTTGCACTGCAAGCTCAGCTTAGACACGTGCAAATTTCAAAGCGAAGCAAAGTTTTTTTTGACTGTTATGTTAACATTGTTATTGCTGTTGCTGTTCAGAGCAACTGCTTCTGCTTCTTCTTCTTCTTCTTGTGCATCATGTTAATTAATGGAAAGTGCAGTAACCGTTTTGCATAATTGACGACGGCTGCGACCCTCGTTGTGGGCACATTATTCAATCATAATTCGCGCCGGGCAGTCAGACAAACCAACAACCCAACGCAAATTTCAAACGCTCTTCACTTCAGCCTTCGTATGTGTGTGTGTGTGTATTGGTATGCGTGCATGTTTGTCGCCGCTGATAGCCCCACAGTTCGCCGGGTCACCTTTGCCTATGCAAAAAAAAAAAAAAATAAAATAAAAACAGAATAAAAAAAACAACAAATTTAACTGTAATCAGCGGCGACTTTGCGGCACACACTACACTACACTACACACCACACACCCAACAAACACAAACACAAACTGAGAGATGGCGAACGGGTCTCTGATAAGCGCACGAGACCTGCCAATTCGCTCCAAACTGGTATTTGCCTCATTTGCTGTTGTTGCTGTTGTTGTTGTTGTCGCTGCTGCTGATTGACACAGTTTGGGTCGCTTTCTTATATTGATGAATGGAAACCGAACTGAACTGAAACGGTTGGCACGGCATCTTTTTTTTTAAATTTTTTTTCGTTTTGTTTTTTTTTATTGAAGTGTGCTATATTTAACGAAGCGAGTATCTGGCATGCAAGTATTGCCATTTGAGTAACTGTATTGCCTCGCCGGCCTCTCTCAATAACAGACAGACTCACACATATGCACACACTGGCAGCAACTGCACAGCAGCTCGCTCTAATGAATGAAGTTGATAAGAGGGACACACTGAACGCCGAACAACTATTGCCGGCTGCAGCGGACGGTTGCCAAGTGCTGCTCTATTGCTAAATGGATTGCAATGATTGAATGCGAGACGATGATCGGTTCACAATAGACATGCAAATGCACGAATTTTATGTTAATTTTACTCTAGCAAAATAGATAACAGCAAATGCTGCAAATACATTTCTTCGACATAAATAAAACTAGTCTTATCTGTGTACACATTGTTGCACATTGGCATTATCTCATTCAGCAATCTTGACGCATGCAATTTCAGTTTAGATTGGCATCGTTATATATGATTATATATATTTTTATGTGTAGCATTATCATTGCCGCTGTCATTCATCTTTTGATCATTTCCGGCAAGTCATTGGAGTCGCTCTGATATTATCTGCATTTGCGTGCCACATTTCCTTGAACAGCGCACAATTTGATGTGTGCACACTTGCATCAGAATTAACCGCTAAGCGATACTGACGCTGCTCTGTCTCTGTTTGCTGTTTGCTTTTAAGGTGTATCTCTGCAAAACCCCTGCAACTCCCCTCCCCCCATCCACACGCAGTGCTGCGTTATCAGTCTGGAAAGTCTATACATAGTCCATACTGCAGTCCAAAAAACTCGTGTGCATAATCACACACACATATATATGTATATATATATTGATATGTATATATATATATGTATTTATGTGCGTGTGTTTATGTGCAAAAGCTGTCCGCCATCAAGCTGGAAGCTCCTTAATGACAGATCAATGAAATCTTTATGAATTCGAATTCGAATTCAAACTCGAAATTCGCATATCAAAAGCGTTCGATTGCCGTCATTCGATCTTATCCGTTGCGAGCAGCAGCAGAAGTGGAGAGAAAGAGATAAAAGGAAAAAAAACGCCAACTCACTGGCTGGAAAACGGGCTCCGAGATTCCAGAGACTCTGATTGATCCTGCGCCTGCGCCTGGCTCTGCAGCGGAAGTTGCTTGTGGTTTTGTATGCATTGCTTGTCGTTCCTTGCTGCTGCTGTTTGCTGTTGCTGCTTGCTGCTGCTGCTTGCTGCTCCTCTTTGATGTGTGCAACAGGTGTAAACGAAATTCAACAAATACGCACATCCGCCCTGCAACGGAAGCACCTGTACATATATACATATATATATATATATATATGCATATTTATGTACTTTTGTGTGACTTGGTTTTGGGTTTAGGTGAGAGAATCTCACGTGATTGTTTTTGATTGTCGCGTTTTGTTGTTTCGTCATTGCGGCACTTAAATTTTGTATTATTTTTTATAGTTGCCACATGTCGCTTGTCCCTTGTCCCGGCGTCCGAGTCCAAGTCCGAGTGCGACA